AAGCAGCGGAATGAGCTGACGTAATTGGTCAGTCTGACTCTCGGCACTTTGACTTCGAGACATACACTTGTGCACGCGCCCATCGATCAAGATGTAGTGCAGCTTTTCCTTGTCCTGAAGAATACGGATATCGTCAAGAGGATTGCCATCAACCAACTGGTATGACATTGTCGTTGAGGCCCATATGCGTTGCAGAATACAGTACACGTACGATCAAGTCGGCGTAATAGCCAGGAAGCACCTTGCCCAACTCGTGAGGCCGCATGAACACTGTCGCAATTGCATCAGCGCAACCCAGAACAACTTTGTCTCGACACACAGTCGCCTCCGAGCTGTTTGTCATGAATGAGTGCAACATCCATCGTGCCCATAAATTGTACGCACAGCAGTGGCCGCAATGATCGCTTCCATCGGAGTATATCCGAACAAGTTCACGAAGTCTTCGAGGTCTCTCGCATAAGTCCCATGTGGAGTCTAAGCAAAACTGTACCGGTGGTAAGTTTGGTGCGTTCTTTCTGCCTGTGTGATAAGCTCACCCGTAGTCACCCCCAGGAAGAATCTTGGTGCCCCGGGCTTTCATCGCTTTCATGGATTTAATGGCTTCGTCAAGCTCATCCTTGTACCCGATCTGATTCGCCATGAACGCGCGCTCTCGATCTGAAGGCAAATGTGTCACCTCAATTGCATGCTCTGGTGTACAACCGTAGTCGGACGCGGAAGTCAGCTACAGATAGATGAATGAATACAACGGCAGCGTTTCCTACAGCACGCTTACTAGCTCTGTGATCACCTGTTCAAGCTCAAATCAGCAGAAAGGCATGACATCTCAGGAGTGGAGCCTCGCATTAATAGCCGGTGCAACCCAAATACGGTCCTTCTTTGATTCGAGAAAGTCCAGCGTCTCTTCATCGTAAAGCTGGCATGATAGATGACGTCCACGCCCCAGCGAGCGCTCATCTTCACCGAATTCATGCTCCTGGCATGTGAGCAAACACCTTTACCCTGCTCGTGAGCGGCCTCGCATGCGGCTTTTGTCTCTTCATCAGTGAAGAAATTCTCATCTGACATGATTTTTTCCGTAAGCTGTACGTAAGCGTGTCAGTTGTGTGCGGTGTCGCGAAATCATAATAGAAACTGACCGATTCTCCGGACATGGACAGCTTCACTTGGTCGGCTCCCAATGCAACGGCTTTCACTGCTCAGTAGGTCAATGCCAGACCCCTGATCGGTGACATCGGACAACGAACAAACAGCGATTCTCATTTCTTCAGGTCCATCAGCGAAAGACGATATCGATTCGATCAGTGCACCATCTCGCCGAGCAATTTCCTGCTCGTTGGCCAGGTACCTTGGTCCGGCTGCCAGCGCTTGGTCAGAGCCATCGATTTACAAATGCCTACTGTTTCTCACCGATATCACCAGCATTGATGGCATCGCGCAACACACAGTCCAGACGAGCTCTAGCGGATGCAGCACCAAAACACATCGTATACTGCCAATCGATATGAGCAGGCGCATGAAGCAGAGGGAAGATACTGACACCGTAATCCAGGTAGGTACGAGCGGCTCGAATGGCAAAGATCGTGTGCTCCTCTGGAGGAAGATGTCCTAATCCTTCCAGATCTGGAGAATTGTTCCATCTGATTCATTTCAGTATCGCCGTCATTCCTCGCCAACCTTATCACTTACGACAGATGGGTATGCGCATCACATAGTCCGCTCATCAGCGTGCGACCTTTTCCCTCGATAATGTGAACCTGAGGATCAGTTTCCTTCACTTTGTCTTCGTTGATCTTGGCCGAGACCTTGACAATCCGCTCTCCTCTGATCAGGACATCGCCCGGGAACGGCTCCCGTCCAGTCGAGTCGAGCACCTTCACATCCTTGAAAAGGATCACGCTCTGAGTGCCTTCTTCCAGTCTCTCTAACAAGCAAACATTAACGAAACGGCTCACGTTGCTATCTGTGCCCTTGATCTCGTGTTTCACCGGCAGCAAGGGTGAGTCTGCGTAAGGATTTGCATTGTTGACAGAGATTGGGTGTTTACGGTAAGAGCCTC